TTGTTTGTTAAATGCTTCCAATTAATTTAATGAAGAACAAAGTATTTCCTATTTTTATTTAGGGAATTTTATTACGCATCATGGCTTATGTTCAGGTCCTAATTTTTTTCATCTAGATATTTTAATAGTTTAGTATATGTAAAATTGAATCACTACAATGTACTGAGATGGAAATTAAAGAATATTGAGAATAAATATATAGTTTGAGCCTTTATGGGCGATATTTTATAACACTAAAAAAATTATTGTCAATTCAGTTGGACGATTCTCTCAAAATTAGGGGGAGAAATTAAGAAGATGAAAATAATTATAAATGCATCTTATCTAAATTTTCGCAAAAGTTCGAAAAATAATTTATTTAGATGCATTTACTGACCTAAGAGATAAACAATATCTCACTCACCAATTTTAAATGCTCCAGCACTAATTGATGTCCTAGGAAGACAATTTGATAGCATTATATTTAATATATTTGTGGCACGCTTGAAGTGTGGTGCTATTTGATTGTAGCACAAAAAATCTTCGAACGAAGATAGAACAATTAGCAAAGATGGTTCCAATTAAGGAGGTATATACTCTTAATGAGTATTTAGACATAACAAATTATAAAATTTCAGAAAAGGTTTAGGTACTTAATATGTTAAAAGTTGAGGTATTTCAATAAATTATATCATTATGGAAAAAGAAATAGAATCAAAAAGAAAAATTGTCGACAATACTTTTGCAGGTGATGTACAACATTATATTATAAATATCAAGGATATCGAAATAAATTTGTCATCAATCGAAGTAATGTTTGGTCAAATGAAATGACATGATCATACTAAATTAAATTTACTAGAGAAACCTAAAATTTTTGGATCTACAGCCTTAACACCAAAAGATGTATATTTATGCTAAATGAAAATGAAAAAGTAAAGTCTTAATATGAAATATACGACTTTTTAATGATAAATGTCGCGAAAACTTGTATAAATAAATAAGTTATCATGTGGTGGATGTAATCACATGTTTCTATCTTGTTAGAGTGACAATGCATGAAATTTGATATACATATACTAAATGTGATTATAGTCAACTTATCTTACATACAATTTAATATTATTCTTGAATGATTTAATATGCTTGAAGCATAATTCAAGTGATATTATCATGAGTGGGAGTAAATACGCTTTATACTCTTTTTCCTTTGACCAAGGTTTTGTCCCATTTGTTTTTCCTACTAAGGTTTTTAACGAGACAACTTTTATAACGTATTCAAAAGAATAATGTACTATTTTTCTATCATTAGGATTTTTCCCACAGGGTTTTTTTAATAAGATTTTAATGAGTCATATTCTTTGTGCTATGATGTCCTTAACCTAAAGGCATCTACCCTAAAAATGTATACTCTTATATGTATGAAACTCTTGAAGAGATCAACAAGAGCTATTTTTTGAATCTTATATTATTACAATTATTAAAGGATGATAAATATCTGGTATGAAAACGATGCAAAACAACACGAGACATATTTGACTAGAAATTGTAATATGGAAGACATTGATGTACAAGACATGAATAGCTAGATATAAGAATTGAAATTAGGGGAGTAACTGTACTTTTTTTCCTTGAATCAAGTTTTGTTCCACTATTTTTCTTGACAAGGTTTTAATGAGGCAATATTTTATTACTCCAAATTATTTGTATTCTTTTTTATTTGTTGGCATTTTTGTTCCCATCACATTTTTGCCAAATAAGGTTTCAATGAAATAGTTATTCTACAAATAATTGTCAAAGGGGGAGTGTTATAAAATAATGAGATGATTATTGATGATTATTTAATGCTATCATGATACATGGATAAATCTTATCTAGTTTAGAAAATCTATTTCATTCCAATTGTAACTCTCATTTTGGATCCTATAAATATAAGACATTAGTTCTTAATAATACACACAAGTCTATTGATTTCTCCATAGTTTCTTCTCTTTTCTCTCTTTTTATAACAATTTATATTTACTTTGAATTAGTCATAATTAAATTCAAAAAGTTGTTTTTTATTATAATATTATATAGTTTGTTGGAGTATTTATTTATTTAATCTTGAAATCCGGTTCGATTTCAGGTCAACCCCAATTTGACCTTTTGATTCTTGATCATTTTCCTTTTTCGAGTTGATGGTCGGGTCTATTTTTAAATGTGAATATTAATTGTATTGAATGAATCTATATAATCATGCTCTGTTATTATTGTAATAAGTCAAACGAATTTAAGATGTATTTATCCAGAGTGCCACTCACACGAATGTAACTTTTTTTCTATTTCAGGAATAGCATCAAATTCTTTTCTCATGATTCATTATAAGTAATGCTATATTTAGCATCATTGATGCCATACAAGATTAGGTGTCGTTAAATATCATTAAATTAAATGAATCACATAATTTTACCTTTAATTGAATATATCATATGATGTCATATGACTGGTGTTTCATAATATTATTCATTCATTATAAGTTTCTCTAAATAATTTTTAAATGCTTCAACCATGAAACAAGATAGAATTAAGAAAAAATATTAGTAATGTCAAAATATCCAAAGAGTGTAAATGAAAATTTGACCTTTTTTTAATATTTTTCTTTCGTTATCAATACGCGGCAATCTAATGTGGTTGATTTATATAAAAATAAAAAATAAAAATTCTATGAATGTAGTGGGTAATTTTCATCCCAGGCACCAAATTTTTTTAGGCTCATTGAACTTCAATTTAACTTTAAATTTCACGACGTTGTCACATTTCATCACCAATCATTTTCTAAATTACTAGTTGATAATCATATTGTAACAATTCTTCCATGTAATTGCAAAGTGCCACCTTCGATTTTTTTTTTAAATAAATTTAAATTTCTTTATTAAATTTAAGAATAATCATGTTTTTTACTCTAACATGCCTCAAGTGGAATATATGTGATTAAGTAGTGAAATTTGGAAATAAATTAAAATAGAATTACTCAATTTGGTATTACATTAAAATTAAATAACGTAATTAAGGATAAATTAAAGCAGTGGAAAATTGTTGAATTTCCATGCTTCTTCTCAATAAATTAATAACCAAGTATATTTACTGGAATTATTATGCCACCTCACAAGATGGTAGTAAAAAATGGAAAATTCAGGGCGTTTAATTAGTCTGTTTTTGTATATAAACCCTGTAGCAGTCGACCCTTCTTTACCATATTTTTTGACAGTCTCGAAGACTGTCTCCTCTTTTGCCCGCTCATTGCTTAACACTTACAATGGAGTTGGGTTCAGCGATTTGGTTCTGCATTGTATTTTCCCTTGTTCTTCAGTCATCTCTTGCAAAGAAAACTTACATTGTACAAATGAAACACCACCAAAAGCCCAGTTCCTATGCCAAACACAGTGAATGGTACGCTGATAGCCTCCAATCCTTCACTTCCGCTACCTGGGATTCAGTACTCTACACCTACGACACCGCGTACCATGGTTTTGCGGTGGCGCTGGACGCGGACGAGGCAGATTCACTCCGAAAATCTGATGCTGTTAATGCAATTTACGAGGATATGGTTTATACCCTACACACGACTCGAACTCCAGAGTTTTTAGGCCTGGACGATGAACGGGGGACGTGGGCAGGCCACACCCTACAGGAACTGAATCAGGTTGCACAAGATGTCATAATTGGTGTGTTGGATACCGGCGTTTGGCCCGAATCCAAGTCGTTTGATGATGCTAACATGCCTTCTGTGCCATCCAGATGGAAGGGAAAGTGCGTGGCGGCTGATGACTTTGATTCGAAGATCCACTGTAATAAGAAGTTGATAGGTGCTCGATTCTTTTCCAGAGGACACAACATGGCATCTGAGGGAGCAGAAGCCCAAACTCCCCGGGACGAGGTTGGTCATGGAACCCACACGGCAAGTACGGCAGCTGGATCTCTGGTAGCAAATGCCAGCCTCCTTGGCTATGCAAGTGGAACCGCTCGAGGAATGGCTCCCCACGCCCGGGTGGCCATTTATAAAGTATGCTGGAAAACGGGTTGTTTCGGGTCTGATATACTGGCTGGAATGGAGCAAGCAATTCTTGACGGAGTAGATGTCTTGTCTCTCTCACTAGGGGGAATATCTCTACCTTATTATCTCGATACCATTGCAATTGGAGCATTTACAGCAATGGAGAAAGGGATTTTTGTTTCGTGTTCTGCTGGAAACGATGGTCCTGATAAAGCTACAGTCGCAAATGTGGCTCCATGGATCATGACTGTTGGAGCCGGTACTCTGGATCGGAACTTCCCGGCTTATGCTACATTAGGCAATGGACAGAAATTCACTGGTGTATCGTTGTATACTGGGAGAGGAATGGGGGAGAAAATGGTTGAATTGGTTTACAGTAAAGATAGCAACAGTTCTAGCAATTTTTGTTTAGAAGGATCGCTTGATCCGGCCATTGTGCGTGGGAAAGTGGTGGTATGCGACAGAGGAGTCATTGAAAGGGTCGAAAAGGGTGTGGTGGTGAGGGATGCTGGTGGGATTGGAATGATTGTAGCTAACACGGCCGCGAGCGTGGAAGAGCTGGTGGCGCACAGTTACATAATACCTGCGCTGGACGTTGGAAGGAAAGCGGGGGATATAATAAGGGAATACGTTAAGACGGTTAAGAAGCCTATGGCCGTGATCAGCTTTGGTGGGACGATGTTAAATGTGAAGCCATCGCCGGTAGTGGCTGCATTCAGCTCGAGGGGGCCGAACTTTGTGACTCCCCAGATATTGAAACCGGATATACTTGGACCGGGTGTCAATATCTTGGCTTCTTGGTCCGAGGATGTTAGCCCGTCACAGCTCGAGCAGGACACCCGTAGGACTTCCTTTAATATAATATCCGGTACGTTGGCCTTCATTTATTATCAGTTTAAGTTCTGATTATGAAAATCGAAAAATATTTTAATTTTATCCCAAGATGTTGAGTCGATCATATTAATTTTACAATTATATATATCATGTTTTCAGTACTTATTTAGTTAAACATCTTGAAACACGCAAATGCTTTCATTTCAATCTTTTTTCATCTCAAAATGGATAAAAATCATGATGGAAAATGTATTTTTTTGTTTAGAAGTTGATGTCTGATGATTAAAATAGGAATTCAATTTGGGAAGAGATTGCTAATAAGAGACTGGTCCCTTTTGAACAGACGTGGCATGATTGTGAAAGATTATTAGCAAGAGCATGCAAACAATCTTTTTTTAGGGCCGTGTTTGTTTTTAATTTGTTACTATAATTTCTCAACATTGCTGATAATTTGGTAACTGCAGGTACGTCCATGTCTTGCCCACACATTACCGGCTTGGCAGCTTTGCTGAAAGCAGCACATCCGGATTGGAGCCCGAGCGCTATCAAGTCCGCGCTAATGACTACGTCCTACACGCATGACAACACAAATTCTCCTTTACGCGATGCTGCAGATAATTCGTATTCCAATCCGTGGGCTTATGGAGCCGGCCATGTCGACCCACAGAAGGCCTTGTCCCCAGGTCTAGTATACGACATCACCCCACAAGGGTACATCCGCTTCCTTTGCTCTTTGGGCTATGCCATCAAGCAAATACGAACCATTGTTAAGCACCCGAACATCACCTGCAGCAAGAGATACTCTGATCCGGGCCAGCTCAACTATCCATCATTCTCGGTCCTTTTTTGGAAGTCTAATGTTGTTCGGTACTCGCGGAAGTTGACAAATGTTGGAGCTGCTGGATCTATCTACCAAGTGAATGTCGAAGCTCCCCCTTCGGTGACGGTAACGGTGAAGCCAGCAAGGTTAGTTTTTAGAAACGTGGGCGATAAGCATCGATATAAGGTTACGTTCGTGTCAAAGAAGGGCTTAAATCAAAGTGCTGCCTTTGGTTCCATTTCCTGGAGCAATGCCCAGCATCAAGTGAAGAGTCCAGTTTCCTTCTCCTGGACAAGCGTGTTATGATTCTCGATCCCGAATTCTATCCTTGGCCGACAATTGTCAAGTAGGAGCTTGTGAAACAATTTGCTAAAATAATTTGTTATTTAGCTTTGAATTTCCTATGTAATGGAATTAGGCCTACAGGGCCAGGTACCACAGTTTACAGACAAGTGGAAATTACGGGAAGTGACATTTGGAGATCGCATTTCATAAATCATATGTTATGTTTTCTATTTCAAAAATTAGATGTTTTGTTAATTAATTAATATATTTTAAATATTAATAATTATATTACAAAATAAATATATTTATTTATTCTATCCAACCACACGTACCAAAACTTAATCATTTTTAACCTCTCCATTCTCTCTTCTCTCTCTATCCCAACTTCTATCATCTCTCTAACTGCTTGTCGTCACCACAACCCTCACTGGCACCATCACACCGCCGTCACCACCTTGTTGTTACCACGCTTGACTAACTCACCACACCAACCAAAAATCTCCAACCCTAAAGCCACAAGAGTAGTCACCACCTTCGTCTATGACATCATCACCACAAATTCACCATCTTCAACTCAACCATCAACACCACACCAAACAAATCAAGGGAAACTGAGGAGATGTGAAATAAATAAATAGATTGCCCCGAGCCTCTGGTGACGTAGCGACTCTTAGCATCGATAATGCCGGGATCTTGGAAAATTTGTGTGGAAGTGAAGAGACATGGAGAAATGTCGGGATTTGCTATAGCAATGAACGATGGGATCTTGGAGAATTTGTGTCGCGCTTCATGCAGCGGTAGCATAGTAACATCTTGAGGTGATGGCGATTTTCGTAAGGTTGTAGCAGTGCTGACTATTTCTGTTGGTGATTTTTGTCGATTGTGTTTGTAATGAGTGGTGTGGTGGAGGTCATCACAATGGTAGCGTCGGTGTTAGTGATGATGGTGCCTGTGTTGTGTGGTCGTGTGTGGCGATGTGGTGGTGTTTTCTACGATTAGTTCATTTGTTTTAAGGTAGTGGTGTTGCTATTGAGGAGTGGTGGTGGTGGTTCTGCAACGACGATGGTAGTGGTGTTGTAAGAGATAGTGGTGAGATGGTGCTCGCAAGTGTTGGTGGTAGTCACAAATTATTTGGTTTACTATGACCATTAAATTGTTTAATTTGTGACCAATAAAAAAGATAAATTGTGACCAAGAAATAATGTGTGATCTAAATAATTGTTAATTTGTGACTGATAATTTCATAATTTATGACTATAAAATAAGTTTTGGATTATAATATTTATGATCTGTGATCAATAAATAAATTGTAATTTATAAATTTTTGATTTGTGATCGATAAACAAATTATGACCTATAAAACTTTTGAATTGTGACCGTAAAATAATTTGTGACATATAAAAATTTTGATGTGACGGAAAAAATAATATGTGACTAACTAAATCGTTAATTTGTGATCATAATTGTATAGATTTGTAACCTCAATGTATTTGATTAATAAAATATATAATTAATTAATTAAATCATAAATAAATTTTAATAATTATTTAATTTTTGAAATTTGAAATCTTTGTTCCTAGTCTTGAAATGAGTAATATTTAACTTCTTAGTTATGTATTTTTCTCACAAGAAAGCATTGTGCTACATGATAACTCAAAAAGGCTTCATAGTTTTGCTGGGCCATCATCGCCCTTAGAAAGGTCCAAAATATGTCATCTCCCTAATGAATTTTGTTTAGAAAGGGGGAGAATACGTAGTTTTAAAGTACATTTAAGAAACTCGTGGAATTCTTTGAAAAATCACCATTTGATAAAATTTTGTGATCTGTTAATTAATTAAGTAGGTTAATGTCACAATAACATATTATTTATGATCATAATCACATGTTAGTTACAAATCACATAAACTCATAGTCACAATAACATAAAACGTGGGTCACAATTACAAATTAATTGCAAATCTCACATCTTTATAGTTCACAATTTATTTATAAATCACAAATTATCAAACTACAATTATCCAATTAATTAATCACAAATTACTCTTCATCTTCCCACCTTACCCCACCCCGCTCCTCTGTTTTCGGTACCACTCAAATAACCCCTATCTCCTAAAATCCACAACCCACTATCACCATCATTACTACTCTCACCTCAAATTCCACGCCCCGGCCACCCCTCACTCCACTACCTCCGACACTATCCAAATTGCAGTTGGCACCTCAAATGCACAACCAACCACCTTCACCTCAAATCCACCACCCCCACCACCTCCAAAGCATCACCACCACCTCAAATCCACAGCAATCTCCACTGCCAACCCACCACACCATCAAATTTTTAAGTTGAAACTTAAATTGTAGATTGAGGGTAATTTTCTCTTTAAGGAATTGCAAAGTTCCATATTTACAAAAGAAATGAACTTTGCATAGACCATTAAATAATATTACAATTTAAAGATGTCATATAATATTTGAAAAGATGAAAGGTAAAGCACCAGATACTATTTTCCTTTTAAACACTGCATATTTGGTAAGGCTAGTCAACGTTAAACGTGTAATAAAATGTTTTATAACTACTATAAATGTAATATTTTCATATTTGTGGATGTTAATTAATTTAGAATTAAAATCTGGGAATATATACATGACAATGAACGTTTAATTATTTATTTAATTTCTGGATGTTAATTTACATACATGGACGTAAATTATGAAATGTATGCTTGAAGGTGAAATTCTAATTAACTTATAATTAGAATTAATAATACCGAAGTACATAAATGAATATGAATATTAACTAAATGAATGCGAATGTTAATTAATTGAAAGTTAATATTATGAAATTCATATGTTAATGAAAGTATACATGTGAAATGAATCTATCAAATGTACGTGAACATTAATAGTAACTAAATGCTTTAATAAATACTTATTTTTTTTTAAAAATTAAGGTATTATTGAAATAATTAATTTACAATATGGCTAAAATTGTCCAAAATATTATTTCAACTTGATGTGATATTTAATAAATTATAGATAAACTAAAAATTAATAAATAATAAAAAAATGAACTTAATTTATTTCGTCTAGATGCTGAAATCTTATGTACCAAACTCTAAACATTTACTATCCATTCCAACCAAACTCTAAC